AAAAAAAAAAAAAGAATTTCTCTCCCCCACTCGCATCAGGATATGCAAGTTATCAGGGAAAAGTTTGAGTAACTAACTGGATCTTGAATTTTCTGTCTCCTTTAAGGAATCCTGGTAGTTATAAAGGAACCCTGGTGATTTCACTAGTAGTTGAATACTTACTACATAATCAGAAGATAGACTATCTGAACCTACCATTTACTCTGCAGTAGAAATATGACAGCTTATTTTACATAATTTACAGCTTTAGAAACCCTCTGGGACAGCACTACTGTCTATGGGGTGACTGTGAATTGGAATTGATTCACCAGCAAATGAGCCTGATTTTGTGTGGTGGCGATGACCTTCCTTAAGTTGAGGAGGCTGAAATGTGTCCAGAGTTTAAGGATTAACTGCCATTTTTGTTTTTACGTCTGAAGCCATTCACAGCTGTTGCTGAACTAATTTCTGGAATTTGTCTAATTGACATCTTTACTTCACAGCCCTTTCCCTGGGGAGATGGGAACCACACGCTCTTTCATAACCCTCATTTGAATCCACTTCCAACTGGCTATGAAGACGACTAAATAAAGAGGACCGGGACCACCACTGGGGACCACCGCGTTGATAATAGTGGACCATTACACTGCACGTGGACAAAAAGTGTACGGGGACCTTCACCTTTACTTGTGTAAATGAGCTTCCATCCCTTCGTGGCAGGAGATGGCTTAAATAAATAATCACAATGTGAGAGTTTCATTCTTTGATGGTAGTTTGCCCTTTGAAATCAGCATTAGTGTTCTGTGTTCAGGCCTCTGACTTGTGTTTCAGGCTCAGTTTAGCCCATTGAATGAGTGTTTACAGTGGGGTGTACGCTGAGTTTCTTGTGCTTGGGGTGGGTAGAGCAGTTGCTCAGTAAATACCTAGATTGGGTCTCACAGACTTGGGATGACAGACATTGAATGACAGCAGAGTAGCTGTTGTTTACCTCTGAAAAGAGCCACCTGAGCCTTTTAAGAATATTCTAAGTCTCACCTATAACCAAGTAATTTTCTTATCTAGTTATTGTTGTTCATTGTGTACAACAGCCCTAAACCCTGCTTTAGCTCTTCCCAATCTTATTGTCACTGACACACCCATCCCCATCACCCTAGTTACTGAATCAATCCCTCTCATCAAGGGTCTTCCTCTCCTGCGCTGTCTGTCTACCCTCCCAAGCATGACATCCCTCTCCAAGGACTGATCCCGCCTTGTAACATGTCCAAAGTATGTCAGATAAAGCCTCAGAATATTTGCCTCTAAGGAGCAACCCGGCTTCACCCTCTCCAGGACAAACTTGTTTGTTCTAGCAGTCCATGGTGTATATTCAGTATTCTTCTCCAGCACCAAAGCTTCAAGGCATCAACTCTCCTTCTATCATCCTACAAGAATTCCTTGTCAAAATTAGAAGCCTATGAAATAGCTGATGATAGTTGGAGTCACTTTATGGAGAGGATGAAGTAAAAATACGATGAGGAACAAGTAAAATTATTCCCTCAGTTGCATTTTTCCCTCCCTCAGTTGCATTTTAATATGACTCTGGCACATGTGGCTTTAAAGCAAGGAGACTACTACTATGCTATGCGTCTTTTTACCATAAAGTGTTTTTTGGGCTTATTTTCCCCATTGTTGCACATTCTCTTCCCACCCCCTCAGCCCTCCCTGCACTGTACCCCTTGCTCTAGACTGCCATCATGCATCCAGTGCCCAAATGTACATTTCTCTCAAATAGTTCTTCCCCCTCCTCTGATCCAATGCAGTGTTTATTATCCATTCACTCTCCCACTCTCTCCAGCCCCCCATGTCCTTATTTTATAACGGTGGTATGTGTTATTTGTCCTTTTATGACATGTCAGCATAGTGACTTCGGGGCTCCCCCAGGTTGTGTAAAGTTCTACAAGTTTGCTTTTTCAATGCTGCATAATACTCCATTGTGTGAATGTAGCAGTTTTTCTATCCATTTGATGATGCGCACTTGAGTTGCTTCCATCTCTTTGTTACTGTGAATAACACAGCAATAAAAACGTAGGTGTGCATTAGAATGTGTCTTTTTAAACTTGAAGTATTCTGAATAGGGTTAGACACTGAAGGCTTAAATATTAAAGTTATACTTTAGGGATTCTTAAGCAAACCTCTCAAGTTACAATGAAAGACTATAGTTGGCCTGGAGCTAGCTTGTTCTTTTTAAAGGAAGGCTAAATTAGTTTTCAAGTGGAAAAGTTAAGACTCCAAGGATTTGGTGGTGTGCAAAGGTGACTGAATGGAAGCACAGGCTGTGAAAGCCACACTCCAGTAAGAGTGGGTGAACCCAGCATCAGTGCACCAAAGACAACCACTTTCTTTGCCAGCTGGTGAGCCAACCATAGCTTGCACTTCTTAGTCCCAGTAGACCTAGTGTGGTTGAGTACCATTGAGTCAGAACAGACCCACAGCTGATCCAGTGTTTTCAAAGGCAGCAAATAAAAAAAAAAACAAAAAAAAAACAAAGGCAGCAAATCGCATGGGAGCGGAGTGCCCATCTTTAGTGTAGGAGCTGGTAGGTGGAACTGCATACCTTTAGGTTCACAATGCAGTTCCTTACCTTAACACGAGAGCTCCCTGGTGTGCTTGTAGAGTCTGAATTCAGGACAGATTTAATTTTAGCTTGCAATGCCATGGACTGCCAAAAGAACAGGTGGGTATGTCTTGGAGAAGGTGCAACCAGAGCGTTCCTTAGAGGTAAGGATGGAGACACTTCAGCTCACGTACTTTGGAGGTAGTGTTGATACTCAGTGATATGGTTGATGAGGGACTGCGACAGTAGACTCAGGTGTGTTGGGGATGATAAGGATGGTGCAGGATAGGACAGGGTTCATATCTGTTGTTCATAGGGTTGTTAGGAGTCCTACCCAACTTAAGCAGTCAGAATACAGATCAACCAGTCAAAACATACAGATATTTTAGATAATAAAGTCTGATCACATTGAATATTAAGTAATTATTAAAGTGTGGAAAGCAGTACAATTTAGGCCTTTTGTTGATCAAGTGTAGAGTTTTGTATAATATTTGCAAATAATTGAGCCAATTTCAAGATACAAAATTTTAGGAGCTACTTGATAATCTAAAGGATATAACAGCTCACTTGATCCTGACACCTCTTTAATTGATTAGCTGTAACTACAATATTCATTGTTGTTAGGTGTCATGGGGTTGATTACAGCTCATAGTGAATTTATCAAGAGACAGAAACCTTAACAATGGAATTACTTAAGGCAAAGAAGTTTTGCAAATCCTTTTTGGTCTCAAAGGAGTTCATTTCTCCTACACCTAAATGTAGTGGTGGGAACATCAGCATTCAGGCAGCAGATGGGAGATAAACCCTGGAGCATGTCCCTTAGGTGTGATTCAGATTCCTACTCACATTCCCGCTGTTTGAACCACACCACACGGCTACACCCTTGGGCTAGCACCCAAAGGCTGCTGGGAAATGTAATCGCAACTGCCAGAGAGGAGGAAGGTGGTTTAGTTTGATCTAGTTTTGCTACAGTGGAAACCTGGACCATTCTAGATCCTCATTCTTCCCGCACCCCCACCCCCTCCTTGTTTACCACTGAAAAGGATCCAACTGGCACAGGAGACTGATCCCAGAGCACCTGGTGGATTCGAACCCCGTGCCTCCAGGATTGCAGAACCTCACTCTTGCTACAATATAAATTTAATTGTACCATGTACTGATGTCAAAAGACAAGAGAAAATGAAATATAATTTATTCTTTCTCATGATACAGGCATTACTAGGCAAGAAAAGAAGGCAAATAAAGCAAACTATTTTCACCCATTCAACTAGATGCAGCATTTTGACATTTTTTAAATATATATATATATATATGTTGACATACCATCTTTGACATTTAGGGTTTTCCTTCCTAGCTACTCTTAAGAATCTTAATTCCTGAATTATATTTTAACTTGGAGCTCTGGTATTCAATGCAACAAACTGCTGAAGCTTTCAAATCTTACACTTGTTAAGGCAGGGTTGTAAATCTGTTAAAAGATGTCTTCCTCTTGCTCACAGCAATCTTAACCGTTAAATTAGTATATAAAAATATAATTGTCATCCCAAGTTGAATCTCTCTTCAGAACACTGATTCCTGAGAGAAGTCCTAACCAACTGCTTTCATCAACAGTGACCCCAGGACAGAGTACCTAATCTCCTTTGCAATATAATTCAAGGGGCCAGGCAACCCTGGCCATCCTGACAAAGTTTATCATTCCATATATACACATTTAAAGCTGATCCCAGACCAAGTATTGTAACCATTATCCCTAAACATTAGTTTTAGCACTTTCAGTTCTTAAAGAATGTCCGAGCAGGTAAGAGGAATACCTCAAGAAGGAATAAAATTCCCTCCTAAATTCCTCATCAAATTGATGGCTTTCTTCACAGTCTCAATGGACAAAATCCAATCTCTAGTTTGCTGATGATTTTCAAGGTGACTGTCAAGGTCAAGAAGAACTTTCAGACTTCTCTTGGCTATGGCCCATGAACTCCAGTCCTTCAATAGGAATCTCCTTCTCCTTTATTGCTTTCTGATGAGAATAGAAAACACATTATAAAGGTCTATATGAAGCTTGAGAACCAAATTTTGTAAATAAAACATAATGGTAAAAAAAAGTAAAATCGGACTAACAATAATGACTCGAACTGCATTAAAAAAAAACAAACCACCAAAAACCCAAACAACAAAATGCCAACACGCAAGATCAGAGATAAACTTGAAAGAAGGTGCGGGGTGGGGGGAAATCAGTACAATTAAATTAGAAATCTAAGCAGCTCCACTTTTGATCCTAGTGACAGGTTTAAATCTTGGTTCCAGGGCTTGCTGGCTACGTGATTTTGAGCAAGCCTTGATTTCCTTATCTAAAGATTTCCTTATCTAAAGATTACAACTACACCCTGGGATGATCCTGGGGACTGTTAAGTGCTTTGTTCGATGCTGCTCCCCTTCCCCCCCCCTTTTTTTAAATTTTTTATTGTTTTGTGTGTGTGTGTGTGTACTGTCAAATCGTATCTGACTGGTACAGGAGGAGATTGCCCCTCCTCCAGCAGAGCATCTGGTGAATTCGAACCGCATATCTCTGGGATTGCAGTGCAGCTTCTTGCCACTAGGCCACCAGAGCTCCCCCATCCCCTTCCCCCTTTTTATTTATTTAAAAAAGGCCGTTTCCGCATCTGGTGAATTCGAACCGCTTATCTCTGGGATTGCAGTGCAGCTTCTTGCCACTAGAGCTCCCCCATCCCCTTCCCCTTTTTATTTATTTAAAAAAGGCCGTTTCCACATTCCCCGGGCCAAGATCATAATTTCCTGGTTGCAGCTGAAGGAATGTGATTGAGAGAGATAAAGGGGATAATGAAGGTATTATTAAAACAAAGCAATGAAATTGTCCATCGTGTTTAACAGGTCAGAGAAGGGCTAGAGCCGGCCAGTCTATACATAACTAAACACAACGCCTACTTCTCCATCGCCCGGTGGAAAAGTACGTCGTCTAAAAGGAAAGGAAATGAACTTGATTCTAATAGATTGGGTCAATCACTACCTAGCACTAGGCTTGAGTTTTTCAAGTATAGAATACAAATTATGATTTAAGCTAAAGATGAACACCAAAAGTGCTCAGTGAAAAGCAAAGTTCGGCTTAAGAGTATTTTTCTTTGGCAATGGTCTGGGTGGTGATGCTACTGCCCCAGGGCTCACAGCAGCTTTACTCCACCCTCCGGGTCCCGAACGTCGCAAGCTGCGAAGTGTGTGGAGGAAGACACCGCGGGGAGAACGTGGGGTTGAGGGTGAAGGCACCGCGGGAAGAACTTGGAGTTGAAGGTGAAGGCATCGCGGGGAGAACGTGGGGTTGAGGGTGAAGGCGGAAGGACTCGAGCCGGACTCACCTGAACACACTGCTGATAGCGCTTGAAGAGGTCGGTGCACGGGTCCGCGGAGCCGTCCCCTTTGAGGAACTTCTCGGCAAACCAGCGATTGAAGCTCTGGTCATATTCTCGTTTCATGTCGGTGCACGCCTCCCCGACACTGTTCATGGCGGCGGCGGTGGCAGCGACTGGCAGCGGCGCACATGTATGTCGTCACTCTTAGGCGCGTCGCTTGAGTGACGTAAGGGGCTCGCCTACGGAGGTTGCGGCGGAGACATGTGGGCCCGGGTCCTGCGGCTGTGCTCTCGGGCACCGCTGAGCGCCTGCCGCGGTCACACCTCCAAAGCTGGCGCCCAGGTAAAAGCCGGGGCGTCGAGGCGGGTGGGTGGACGGACCTGGGGGCAGAGCAGGCTCCCCGATAACCGATGTTCCCTGCTTCGCCCCCAAGGGAAGCGGCCGGGTCTCGGCCGAGATGATAGAACACCTGGAGCGCCTGGCGCTGGTGGACTTTGGCGGCCTCGAAGCCGTGGCTCGGCTAGAGAAAGCCATCGCCTTTGCTGACCGGCTCCGAGGCGTGGACACTGACGGGGTGGAGCCCATGGAGTCGGTGTTGGAGGACAGGTAAATTCGCCGCGTGGGCCCGGACGCCTTGACTCTGATGCCTTTGCAGCCCTGCCTGGTGACAGTGTCCTCGTTTCAGAGGAGGAAAGAATCTTAGTGAGATTACAGAATTCCCCTGACTATCCCATGGGTAGATGGGTTCATTCTTCCTCTTGTTCTTTGTAGATCTTGTCCCTTTCGTGCGTAACGCCTTCAAGGCTTGGCAATGTAACTAGGAAATTTACCCTAAACAGCTATCTGAGTAAGCCCTGCCTGATAGAGCCCTGCCCGCCCCTCGGATACATTGTCCTTTTCCTTCATTTGACGTTCAGCCGCCTTCTCCCACACATCAGATTCCTTCTTCCTTTGCACTTTCTATTCCCTTATTCTTGGACGGTGTGTCTTCACATGTTTGCAAGTTATCTGGCTTCCTCAGACAAGTCTCTCCACCAGACACCTCTTCCATTTCAGTCTCTAACTGTTCTCTTGTTGGGGAGAGGCAGAAATAAGAGCAGAGCAGTCCAAGGGCTACACAAACACGCACACATGCACACACACACAGAGAGGCAGTCATTTCTTTGTGGCCACAGCATATTCTTTTTTCATTACCGTTTTCCAGTTACTGGCTTCTTTTGTGAAATCTTGATTGGGGAAAACAAGAATTGAGGCAATGAGTCCCTAATTGGCAGACACTTCAAGAGTTCCACTAACAAAATTAGTTTGAAAGATAGATTGGGAAACCAGTTAATTGCTCTATAAACTTCCACTCAAATTACAGTAGGTTTTAAAAAAATAAAAACCAAAAACCCCAGACACAAAAAAATAACACAACCCACTTCAAACAAACCTGTTCAACTAGTCCCATTCTTGGATCTCACTTGATTCTCAAGTCTAAAAAAATGTTAAAACTTGTCAAAAGAAAAGTTCAACATTGTGTGTTACTATAATCCAGTAGCCTATGATGTATAGGAAAGTGGGGGCCTAGTCTAAAAATAATCTCATTATGTAGTAATTAAGTGAGAATGTGTGGTATTTGAAGGGGTGAATTTTGTTTTCCTGGGCATTTTATTTATGTAGGAAACAGGACTATCAAATATAATTGAACAAATCTGTTATTAAACTACCATTAGGAAGCACTATCTTTAACTACACGGTGGTGGCGGTAGTCATTTCATGGCCATCTGCTTGTGTCTCTGAAGGCGAGCAGGTGAGGCAGGTAATGAATGAATGAATGAACGAATACATGCATGCAAGGACCTTGAGGAAGTGTATCATCACTGTACTTGGACCCATGGGGACGGCAGTGTACTTGGGGGCACTGACTCTTCGGAAAGAATGCAACCTTTATCTTTGAATTGTACAATGTAGAGATTGGTGAATTTTTTTTTAATTTTTATTGTATTATTTTTATGTGTACCGTCAAATCAGATCTGACTGGTACAGGAGGAGATTGCTCCCTCCTTCTCCAGCAGAGCCTTTGGTGGATTTGAACCACGTATCTCTGGGATTGCAGTGCAGCGTCTTGCCACTAGGCCACCAGAGCTCCCTGGTGAATTGTTTTCTGTTCCAGTGTGTACATTTTCAACAAAAACAGGAAAAAATATATATAATCGTGCAGCCTTCAGTTTTTCTGATGAGCCATTTAATATCCTAAGAGTCTACTTCTTCAAGACTATAGTGCTTTTTAAGACATTTTGGTTGTTGTTGAAGCTAGTTTTTTTAAGTAGCAGATTCTCAAGTAGGTACCAACTTTCCACTTTTCAAACCACATGTAAATGCTGTTAAACTGTAGGACAAGTGTCAAAGTACCAATGAAATAGAACTTGTCCTCTGTGCCTTTGTCACGTCTTCACCTGAACCCAAACACCAGACCTAAGCTGCTGTCTACATCCTGCTCAAGCAGTTTGCTATTCCCATCAGTTACTCCGTGGGATGCTTATCTTTTAGCCCCTGTATCTGAAAGCAGATTCAGACCCCTCATGCACTTTAAAAAAAAAAAAATTCTTTTTATTAATTTTAATCAGTTTAGAGATTTAGGGTTTCCAGTCATTCATTGTTGCACTTTTCTCCCTACCTAACCCCTCCCCCCAATTCACTCTTCTCCTTGAAAAGAAAAAAATCTCATTGTTATCCAGTCCCTCCCCTCAAGTCCACTCTACTGTGCAGCCTTCACTATGGACTTCTGTAATGACAAGAATACCCATTCATAACAGTTCTCTCCCTCATCTGTTTCAATGCAGTATACATCATTCTTCTCCTGTCTTCCCTCAACCCTGATGTCAGTCCCATTTTAACAACAGTGGCCCTATGCAATATTTGTCCTTTTTTGACTGAGATATTTTACTTAGCATAATGTCCTCCAGGGTCATCCATTTTGCATATTGCATGAGTTCCTTGTTTTTCAGTGCTGCATAGTATTCCAGTGCGTGAATATACCAGAGCTTCTCTATCCATTCGTTTGTTGATGGGCATTGGGTTGTTTCCAACTCCTTGCTATTGTGAACAGAACCGTGATAAAATGGGTGTGTATGTATCTGCTTGGATGTCAGTTATGGTCTCTTTGGGGTATATTCCCAGTAGTGGAATTGCTGGGTTGAATGGTATCTCTATTTGCAACTTTTTGAGAAAGCACCATACCACCTTCCACAGTGGTTGCCCCATTTCACACTCCCACCAACAGTAAGGGTTCTAGTTGCTCCACAACCCTGCCAGCATTTGTTGTTTGCTGTTCTGTTAAATTTTGCTATTCTGACTGGGGTAAGTTATCTTGGTTGTTTTGATGTGCACCTTAGAACTAGGGATTTTGAACATGTGTTTGTGTGCCATCTGAATGTCTTCTTTGGTGAAGTGTCTCTTCATATCCTGTGCCCATTTTTCTATTGGATTATTTACCTTTATCTTGTTGTGGTGCTCAAGTATTTTATAAATTCTAGATATAAGTCCCTTGTCAGACATGTCACTACCAAATATTTTTTTCCCAAACTGTGGCTTCCCTTTTTACCCTCCCTGTTGGAGTTTTTGAATGTGCATAGGGATTTGATTCTTAGAAGGTCCCATTCATCTATTTTATCCTCTCCTGGTTGTAGACCCTCATGCACTTTTAAACCTTTATAGTGAAATGTCATTCCTGTTCAGGCTCCTCTTTGATTTTATCCTTAACTGGACACCAGTGAATAGATCAGGGGAACAGTGAGGGTTTTTTGAGCAAGTTAAGCCTTCATTCTACTTAAGTTTTGTAGCCTCTTCTCTGTGGAACCGACTGGGCTATTGCCCTTCTCTCATTGTGCTGCGTTCTCCTGCTTTGGGATCTTGCTGCTCTCCCTGCCAGATATTATGTGCCCCTCAATCCAAATATACCATGTTCATCCTTTAGCAGACAGCCATGGCAATGCCAGAGTACCTTTCTCAGCTCAGGCAGGGTTAGATGAAATGTTTCTTGCTATTCCCTAGGCAGACTCTGCTTCTGTTAAGATTTAACATTGTCTTTTCACTGGTTTTCACCAGAAACAACTAATAGTCACCCAGTAACAAATGCTAAGGTATTTCAAACAGTACACAAACTTGGGACTGTTTGGTTCAAGTTTGATCATAGTTCTTACTAAAAAAAAATAATCCAGAAAAATACTTGAATTTTTTTTTCTTTTAGATGCTTATACCTCAGGTCTGATGATGTAGTAGAAGGCAACTGTACTCAAGAAATACTACAAAACTCCCATCAGGTTTTGGAAGAGTATTTTGTGGCCCCTCCAGGTATGTCATATTCAATGGTTCTGTAAATAAAAAAATGTGTACAGATGGTGTCAATAAAAGTGGCTGTGGAGTCCAAGGGTCATACCTTTAGGGATCTGCTAGTAACAGAAATGAGCCAAGCTGGACGAGGTTTATGTGCACACTGGCCATTCTGTAGGAGCCCCACCTGCAGCAACAGCTGCTTCCCGTTCAGCACTGCATACAACTGGAGCACATTTTCCCAGAGAAACTGGCATCTGTCATTTTATTTCTCCAAGTTCTAGAGTTAGCAACAAACTGAAGTCTTGCTCAAAGCAAGGATGGGAAACTAGAAAATACCTTACGATGCAGATACGGCTAATTAGCCTCTCAAAGGTTTAAATTCATAGCACTGCAATCTCAAAGGTATGAGGTTCAAATCCACTAAATGCTCCACTGGAGAAGGGGCAATCTCCTCTTCTGCCAGTTGGATCTGATTCCACGGCCCTCAAGTTAAAAAAAAAAAACCCAACCCCCCAAAAACCACTTTGAGAGACTCTTAATTACAAGGTGATAGCTACTCATATTTCTCTGGCATGTATTTCACAGAAAATCAAGTGATTAATGTAGAACCAGCTGGGCAGCAGGCTCCACTTACCATGTTCCTTTTTGCTATTGTTTTCAAACAGGTAATATATCTCTAGCAAAGCTGGATGAGCAAGAGCCTTCTCAAGTGGCTGAGTAGCGATTCCAAGAAGGACGTGAATACCTAGCAACAAGCATCACTTCTTCAGTCAGCTGACAAAAATGGATGCATTATGTTTTTTAATAACTGACTCTGAAGGCAACACTAGCTTAGATATG